CTCAGTTAACTCTCTTCATTTTTGCAGTAGCAGATGTTGCCATAATTCTTTTTCATAGCATCACCTTTCTGGTTTTATCTACGAAGAGGGCTGTCAAATTTATCTTCTGCTTAGATCATCAGCAAAAAAAAAATCAGGGTAGGTTGTTGTTTTTTTTTTTATGGGAAAAAAGAAAAAAAAAAAAACAGCTTTTTGAGCTAGGTGAAGCATACATGTTGTTCCAACTAGTTTGTTTTATATTTTAGTAGCAGAAAGAACTAAGGGTCCACATAAATTCTTTGTTAAATCATGAAGAAGAGTAAATCAAATTCTTTGAAGTTTGTCATAATATTCTCAGGAAAAATTTTCTAATAAAGTTCTGAAATAGCCTTGAAATTTTGGCAGTTATAAGGCTTATGGAGTGACTAAGCATTCCTGATGAGAATGACTATTATTCTGAAAGAGTTTTAAAAATTGTTTAAGTTAACCTACTGTGTAGATACTCTTCTTTAGAACATAAACTGAATATAAATTAATTTATTTCCATGTCTAACCTAAATTAAAGCCATTTTAATTCTGAATGAGGGTCCAGAGAGGAAACTGATGTTATTTAAGAAATCCATATTAAATTCCAATGGATAAAGATTCAGATTAATTTCTCTAATGCACACCCATCAAGAGGTCACAGCTGCTTTTACAGAAGTAATGGATACATGCTCAGTTGGTACATAAGATAACACAGTAGACTTCTTTTTATGTTATTTCTGGAAACCCAATCTATGCCAAAAAATGCATTTAGTTTTCTATAGAAACAGAATACCCGAATATTAGTTCATAGCCTTCTTGTCAGAGACAGGTACTTGAAAATCATATGACACCTTATGAAAATGTATCATTTAATTTCTAAACAAAATGTTGCTGAAAAATATGTGGGAAGAAGCTAATCAGAATCATTAAAGGGTGAATGGAAGATACTGTTCATAAAACAGCTGAGTAAAAAACAGAGTTCTTGAAGAAACTCCTGCTCGCTCCACTAGTTTTATCAGCATTCCGTATAATGTGATTCATGGCCAAGAAGAACCTGCAGTCAGGCAAACATTTGAGCAAGTTATTTGTTCTGAAAGTTTCCAGATCAAATTACAGTAAGAAAATGTATTTAATCTATAAGGTCCAGGGAAGTGCTTCTTCCATTTATTTAACCAGATTTTCTAATAAAGTTCTGAAACACCATAAATTTTTGGCTGTTATAAGGCTGATGAAGTTATTAGGTGTTTCAGTTTGCAGATGACAACAAATTCCACTTGTAAGAGACAATTAAATCCCTACACACTGGTGATCTGCTTTAGCAACTCAATTAGGAATTAAAAAAAAAAAAAAGATTTTGTACATAAACATGCAATATTTCACATGTTAGAAAGCTAACTTGCAACAGACTCAGGTTAGTAAGAGCATGAACTGCAATAGTTAACTATCAGGTCAGTAAGATCATCTTGGATACCCTATTCCCAATCTGGTATTTCATGTAGATCTTTCACATATGGGATTACAAACTGAAATGCACAAGTTAGCTGTAATTCAGTTCCAATTAACTTGCTCTAGAAATAACAGCTTTCCAGTGGAAAACTTTGTCTATAATTAAAACTCTGATCTATGATTGACTCAAATTGTTTACTGATTCAGCATTTTCCTTGTATGAAAACCTTAAGGTCAAATGCAGGTTTCTGACTGATACAAAGCAGATTTAGTTAGTTTTCAATCCAATCAAGAAAGAAATAAAGATATAGCTTTAACTGCAGTGTGTTTCTGTCCACAGTGAGTAACAGATTATCTCAGTGCATGGGTGGGGGGAAAATCTATCTGCACAGTAACTATGCAAAAACATTCTCAGCTTCTTCATTCTCTTGCTTCTCTGCACAGCTGAAAAAAGAGAATGAGGATATTGCTGGTATATGTAAGAACTGGGCATCCCAAAGAATGATGGCTTATCTCTCAGAGGAAAGTCATTATCTCATCCACATGTTGCAAACCATATGGGCATTTCAGAGGCCACCTGGACTTCCTGAGATTTAAAACAGTAAACATCTCTCAAGGAGGGCTTATAACTCATTCAAGGCACAAGCAAAGAATGAGCATTTCAAAAGAAAAAGCATTTTTATGTTAGAAAATAACTGGGGAGTTTAAACAAACAAACAAAAAAAAATAAAATAAAGGTCTGGAAGGAAATGCTCTGTAACCAAACATCCAGACAAACACATTAGCACGTTGATGAGATTCTGATTGCTAGTCACTGATGACCCAGCATCATACAAATTGAATGGAAGTTTCCAGCTTCCATCATCAATACATGAACTCAAAAATAAACTGTTCAACCTAGCAGCTGCTACAGTGCTATACCTATAGAACCTGAACAAGCTCAGTTCATCTCTCCTGAAGTCATCTGTGTCAGTGGAGAAACACTTGGAAGATAAGAAGTCATTTCTTTTATTTTATTGATTCTTGTCTAATAAATAAGTTTGTGTCTCTGTATGTGTGCATGTAATCAAGCACTTAAGGACAAAGGTTTGATTGTTGTTTTTGTTTGTTTTAAGTAAGAGCACAAGGTGAAAAGTTTTTCCAATTACCTGAATGCTGTAGGGTCTGTAATTGCTTGTCATCTCTTGCAGATGTGACCTCCTTAGTGAGGTTCTAACCCCCCAGAATGTCCTGATACTGCTATCAGCTGACTTTCAGGGGTCCTGTGGATATCAGCCTCCGCATGGGGAGACCTGAAGGGAAGATAAATTTCTCACATACATACAGGCCAATTGTAGGAAAAGTCTCCCATACTAAGGTAAAATATTTAAACTACATTCTATGTTTTAGGGGAGAGCTACAGCACAGATTGCTCATGTTGTTAAATGTCATCTGCAATGTTTTACAATGTACAGATCTTTTAGTACTGCTTTATATGTGCATTATTATTTTAACACTACATAACTGCATGTGAATTTGGTGTTCGTGAAAATGAACAGATTATTAAAAAGGCTTGAACCCACCAGCCTTTGGGGAAACATCTCTCTATGACAGTCCTCTACAAATGGCCAGCATTGCATTGTTGAGCCTTTCTTGAATTTCTGCCGATGACAATGGATCCTGTAATGAGGCTAAAATCAACGCCTCTAAACTAAATGGGAAGAAAACAAGAAAGGGAACTGGGACATGGCAAAAGGAAATACAGTAAGAGCAAAGTCATTTAGGAGGTCAAGAAAAAGGAAATAGATGAGAAAACACAGAAAGAAGAAGTAGAGAAATATTCGGTATAAAGAGAGTAAAAGAGGGTTTTTTCCACCTTTCCGTCCCTGGCTGCTGGTGCTGTGTCAGGTGTGTACTTGTCACTTCTGTGAGAACTCACAATCACCAGCGAGAGGAAAAATGATCTGATGGCACTGTTCTGATCTGCAGCTTGCACGAATCAACAGTAGCATGAAGCATTCATTTTGGTTTAAAAATGCTTCAGCATATCCAAAGTGCTGAACTGGGTAAGAATACAAACACGTGAAGCTTTATTCTGTTGCACACTATTAAGAGCTGAAGCTTCAGTCACTGAATACGTTCTCAGTACAATGCACAACCTCATTTATCTATCCTCACTTATCCAAAACATTTTGTGACAGACGGTATCCACAGTCTGATGTGACTGTTCTCCTGAGCATAGGTAACAATAAATTCAGCCCATGACACTGCATGCATACTTGTCTTAAAGAAACAGGGCTACATTTTCAGCCAGAAAAAAATGATTTTCTGCAGAGCTTTAGGTAGCACCGGAGGTGGCACCTACATCATTTCTCAGCAACTGAGCCAGGTGCAGCCAATGGCAACTTCCACTTGGTTATTTAAGTATTGACTTACAGAGATGTATTGACAAAAACAGAATTTTTAAGAAAGGATGCCCTTTTCAGGAAATCTAGCTCAAGGACTGCTGTCACACAAACTCTTCAGATTTAATTTTGTTACTATAAGACTTTTTTTCAGTTTACACTGTATCACTCCCTTTTTTCTTCATCTTCAGCTTCTTTTTATCGCACCTGAGGTTATGATCTTCTGTTCATGCCATTAAGCTCAGGAGACTGTATAGAGGCAGGGGTAACGTTTTTATGCAGGAAGAGAGTTCAGGTCTCTTCTCGCAGAACATATCTATTTCTTTCCCCCAAGAACTACAAACTAGAACTAGATAAAAAAGCAGGATTAAGACATTCGTCACAGACATGAAGAACAGTAGCCAACAGAGCCACTGCAGACAAAGCTACAAACATATCATAATGGAAAATATACTGAAATATGAGAGAGACAGAGAGAGAGAATTTGCCCTTGAACAGAATTTGAAAGTCCTATTTCCAGCTGTGCCATTGGTGTCCTGGGTGGCTGTATGCAAGTTCTTTCACCCTTTTACACCTCTATTCTGTAGTTTGTGCGTGGTGGAAACAACACTAAGTACCCTTGCAAATCGCATTGAATTGTATGAAGAACTAAGTCCGGTTAATAGATAACTGGCAATATCACATTAAAGTAGGCCCTTCTAATCCCAGCTCTTCCCATACCATCATTCCTTCCAAGAAGTCACTTCTAACTGTTGTTTTTTATTGCAAAAAACAAAGTTTCAAGTGATTACATTTATAATTTTAATAATGTAAGAGCCTTACAGTAAGATACCACACAACCAAGAATTCATTACTTTTCCTTTCACATTTTATTAAAAGTACACTATGAATTATTTAAACTTGTCAAGATAAATTAATTTAGTACATGTTGTGATACGGTATATTCTGGCTGTAATTGTGTTTGCTGCTTACTGAGTATAGCAATTCACAAAGTCCAGTAATATATTTTTCCAGCCATTAGAAACAGCAACCATGGGAATGTTGCATCATTTTCATTCCTGAGATTTTTTACTTACTTTTTTATAAAGAGTTGAAGTTAGGTTATTGCATTGAAAAAAAAAAATCAGCAAATATACTGAACAGTTCTGGAGGTTTCTCACCTACCTCTTCTAAATCAACTTTAGTCAGCAGAACCTAGGAAAAATCCCAGGAAAACCAGTTTTCAGAAGGTGCTGTGAAAAAAAAAAAAAAAAAAAAAAAAAAAAAAAAAAGTGAGATTTAATTTGGTATTATTGAATTCTCATTAGAACATACAACCAAGGTCCCAAGAAAGTCAGTAAAAATTTTGCCTCTGACACGAGTGAAGGAGGAGACTCAATCCAGTGCCTAAGCATAGGTTTCCAGTGCCATGTGAGACATCCTGGGGGACTTCACCTGGTTCTAGCTGACAGTCTAGCACTGCTCACGTTTCCTGTATATCCTGCTCATGTACATGCCAGCCTTACTGGGAATGCTTGGATGGCTGGATTCAATCACCTCATGTAGGTGATTGAATTGAGCCCAAGATATCTCCCGTTGGACATCTCAGGTTCACAGTGGCATACACAGATACCTTTGTGTGTGACTGTCTACTGACAACCCCAGCCTAAGAGAGCTGATAGCATTCCTAACAACTACACATGTATAAAGGTAAAAATAATTGTACAAGCAACTTTTCCAAAGCATTCTGCAAAGCAAATTTCTTGAAGAATCAGCTTTCAGAAAAACAGACTCTTTTTTGATAGTTTTGCACATTCCCAAGAATAACAAATGCTCCTAAGAAAGTAATGAGCAGAAAGTCTTATGAAAAGTCTTATGCCATTATCAGCATGTGAAAGAGATGCAGTGGTTCATTTTTACCAAAATTGGATACTCCAGATTTCTCAGATTTTAATGGAAGTTGTAAGTTCTCTGCATGTTTAGAAACCAGACAATCTACTGTTCAATTTATGCTAGAAATGACAGCTGTATTGAGCTTTCAGGGGAAATTAATCAAGAAAGCAATCTCATTATCAGGGAGGAAGCTCAATTTAGGAAGAGAGATGCAACAGTCTCCCAGAATCAATTAATGCTTGTTATCCAGGACAATGGCATTTGAAACAGCAATAGCACTAGAAAGCTGGAAACATATCAAATTTAAGGCAAGCTCAAGTTTGTTTGAATGAAGTCAAAATCAGATGTTTTTCACCATGAACTTAGTAATAACTTTTATAGCACATAATGTCCTAATTTTAAAATTTGATATTAAAACCACATTTTGTAAAAAGTCTATAAATGGAAGCCTTTATCATGTTATACAACATTCCTGAATATTCATGAGTGTTAATGTGTGTTTCCTTAGAGGTCATTCAGTTCAGGAAGGCTGATTTAGATCTTGGTGCAAGTAGGAACTTCACACCACTTTGGCAGAAAACATAGCATTTAAGCTTCTGTAAGCAGCAGACAGACTTCTTGAGATTAGGTATATTTAAAGACACCGAACCGGGTTCTCCATTCACTGCAGTTGTCTTTCTGCAGCACCATCCTTCCCCCTCTCATATACAAACTGAAGAGACCGCTCCAGTATTACTGGAAGTGAGAGTAGACCACGTCCTCCTTTCCTCTCTGACCAACTCCAACAGCAGACATCCTCACCCCAAGCACATGTCAGGTCTAGACCTAATACGCCTGAACATCAGGGATGAATTATATAGTGGATCACGCCTATGACCTGGCACAGTTTCTCTAGGTTGCCTTCTGTAACGTAGGCAACTTCCATACATTTGCATAAGCAAGTCATTGACTATTTCTGTAGAGCTGTTTGCTCCTATTCACAATTTCCCATCTTCTTTCTCTTTCCAGACAATTTCATCTGTGCCTTGAAAGATTTATCCTGCTCTTGCCGTCCTCACAGCACCTGCTGATGACTGGCTGAAAAGCAATAGCCAATACAGAGAAAATTTGCCTTGCATCCCAAGGACAAGATGGACACACAGACCCTAAAATTGCATCCATTAATCTCTGGGCCTAGAGGAAATGTTCAGAAGTTTTCATCAGTGATAAATAGCTGTAGTGCAAGAATGGAGCGAGGGATATTACCACACACAAATTGAGTATTTTAGGCTGAATTAAAGGGTGGTCAAAACAAGCCCATAAGTCTAGCTGCTAGGAAGGAGAAAGAGTGACAGAAGAACAGGTTTGATTCAGAACAAATGAACCTTCTCAGAATATTATTTGGGATGAGCTTTGAAGCAATTACAAGGAAAAACTATATTGAGAAGGTCTAGATTGGCCCCATTCTTCTCTGAACAAACGTTAACTGCTTTATTATAACAATCACTTTTAACATTCATGTAATACTCATCCTTATGGAAAAATCCCCAAGTTCTGCTCCTGGTTTGGAAAGCAGCATCAGCCCCAGCACATGCTGGTGTATGAGAGGAAATAGAGAAGAGAATACCATATCCAATTGATCCTTCAGGGAGATTTGAAGGAGAATGAATGCAGATTTGGAATTATGCCAGAACACTGGGGCTACTATGCCCGTTCCTACAAAAAGGGCCATTGGACTGTTAACAACCATAAGCAATCAGGCCCCCGGTTTCACATCTCATCAGCAAGACTAGACTACATATTCATTAAACTCAAGCTTGCTTTTAAATTTTCTTAGCTTCTGTTGGTGGTGGGCTTCATTCTTTTAATTCTTGCACCAAAGTGCATCCCCTTACTTTTTATTCCTTTCAAATTTATAGCTGACTCATCTAGCACTACACCAAATTGTAAATGAAGAAATTCTACACTGGCAAGAAAAACAGATATAGCACCTTAACAGGTTCTTAATACTGCTAATATCTATGTGCCATTCCTCATGCCACTTGGGATTCCCCCACCCCCCACTAAGATCGCTGAAATCACAAGACTCTTTGTAGTTGTTTTTAAAAGAAGGTGGCACACAATAAAACATAGACTCTTCAACATATGCCGATAAAGAGGAGAAAATGCATAAACAAAGGATTTCTTCTTTATTTACTTCAGTGTCCTGATAAGCTGCAACATTTTTTTCTCTCTCTCTTTTTTTTTTTGCTCAATCTTCATACTCCATTATTAAATCATTAGTAGTCACAATATTAAATAGTAAAACCAATTTAGGGGGGCGGGAGAAAATGAGCATTTAATTATTAAGTGCTTCAGGAGAGAACATTATTCTTATCTAGCAATCTAAAAACAAAACACATGTATTTTCACAGGAAAATATAGGTGAGCAGGTAGCCTGGAGAAAGAAATCCAGCTTTGCCTAAAGCTTCAAAATAGAATATTTTTTTCTCTATTCAATATTTTACAAAATAGAGCTGTGCTGAAAACTCAGATCTTCAAAAATGCCTGAAGATTAACTCTGTGGATCTCAAAGGCCTTACTGTTTTAAACCTTTCTTCAGAAATATGCCCGTTACGTTTACAACTCTTACAAAGCAGTATTTTCTAAAAGAACACCATACTCCTTCCAGGTATGCTTCAACAGTTCTGGGGAGGAAACCTGCATTTTCCAGTGTTCTGCCTGAACGACAGCCTTGAGAGCGCATTCTCCAGCTTTCTGAAACGCTGTATTTTTCAAGAGGTCTCTAGTTAAATGTTCTAAAATTACTTTTTTTCCTCCTCCTCCAATAGCACACACATCATTGTTGCAGTGTATCTGACAAGCAGATGAACACTAAGCTACTTAATTTGTTCAAGGCACCAAAAAAATCATGAGTTTGTTTTAAAAGCATCGGTGTCAACCAAGTCAGATGGAGGCTCTTCAATTACATAACATTCAACACACACACACAAAAAAAAAATATGAACAACCTTCTTGAAGTAAATTTCCTTGGTTAAGAAAAGGAATGATAAGGAATGATATTTGCAGTCCCTTAGGCTGCAGATTCCTCAACTGATGCATGTCTGTTCATCCTACTTAGATAATACTCTGAGTTTCCAGACCATGCTACATTTTTCAAAGTTTCAGACTGTCACCTTCCTTGTTAGCTCTGTAATACGAATGAAGCATGCAGTAAGCAGTACATCTACAATCACTGAAGGATGCTATTAAAAAAGCTAAAGAGAAATAGCAGAAAGTAGAACTCAGTTTTCCCAATTAAAAAAAAAAAAAAAAAAAAAAAAAAAAGATTAAAAGGATTAAGTCACTGTGCTGTATTAATTTTGATTATTAAAATTATTTACATGCAGTTCAGTGATGTTAGCAGTCAGACATCCATGCTGTCCACAGGGCTTATACCAAATCAGAGGAGTTAGAGTAATATTGTGATACCATTTTTAGAGTTAAAGAGTCCCTCAGTTAGAGCCTTCTGCAAGCAAGACAGGCAGAATTCACGCAACCACCATTTTCCTGCACTACTCAGGTGTTCACCTAGGTGTAACTATCCAAAGAACCACAGCCCAAAGCAACATGCATGAGCAGCAGCAAGACAGATCAAGGACAATTCTCTCTTTTCGACTCATATGAAAATTAAGTGGGAAGGTCTATTTGAGACAGCATGTTACACGAGTAACGTGTAAAAGTAAAAAGTCTCCAGTAAAAGGAGACTCCAAAGGAAAGTCAAAGCTAGTTGACTATACTGAGTTAGTATAACACCACTGAAAGTACAAAGCCTTGTGGAAAATAAAGGCGGCAGGATCTTCTAACACATTTCTTTTCACAGTTACCTTCCTCTTAGTATAAACTATACTATGTTGAACACATGTAGATCTCACGGTCTTGGAAATTAAACAACCATAAGCCCATGCAGTACAGGATACAAGCCACCTGGAAACGGCAGGTACTGCGAGGGCAAACCAAGCTGTCACAGTTGAGCACTACAGCTCTGAAACTGAGTATGCTGAAAGAGTCCCTCTGGTCTCATCCATGCTAATTAATACGGGAGTAAGAGGAGATGCTTTCCGCTTATGGTCTCTAGATTCGGAAGAAGCTATCTAATAAGTCAAACCCTGGAACTTTTATTTACATCAGCATAATTCCCAGCACTATCTACAGGGGACAGTTATCTGCACAAGGAACTAATGCATTAAAGAAACTGTGCCCACACAGCAGGACATTCCTTATTTATGCACACATACACATTCTGGATTTATAGCTAGAGTCGCTTCTAGCACATCGCAAGCACAGGGAAAGTAGCATGCATCCAGAGCAGCTTCGCCACTGGTATATAACGTACTGTAAC